GCATCTACAAGGTCACTGCCTAGACCAATGTCAAACAGCCGTTGTTTGTTCAAGTGTGTTGCCAGGGCTACATGTATCTGTTGAACATCGCCTCGCTCTGTAACGATCACAGGTTATCACCACCCTACTCTTCCCATGCACACTTTCTGTGGCAAAGGGGCCGTGTGGTCCTGGCCCTCCCCAGCTTCACACCCTGGTGGGGAATCTGTAGCAGCTCGCGTAGCCCCAAGCCAAAACTGTGTGGCAAACCTTGGGCTCTCACCACCCCACACCTCCCCAGCCCTCTCTCTGTGTCAAGGCTGGCGGCGCGCAAAAGGGGGTTACGGGTTGGGGGGAAGGCTTCTTAGAGGCACCCTGCTCCTTAGATGGCCCCGGCATCACGTCTATAGATAAGGCCAACGCCTTCTAAGAAGCAGGGGTGCTTCTAAGAAGCCTCCCCCCCTCCCCCTGCCCCCCTCTGCGCGTGGCCGACCAGGGGCCGTGTGGCCCTGCCCCTTCCCAGCTTCGCACCCCTGGCAGGGGACATGCTGCAGTTCGCGTCGCCCCAGGCCTGGACTGTGTGGCCGGCCTGGGGCTCTCGCCACCCCTCCTCCTCCTCCTCCTCCTCCTCCTCCTCCTGCCGTGTGGACCTGACCCGTCCAGGCTTCACACCCCGGTGGTGAATCCGTCATGTTGCCATTCGCGTCGTCCCGAGCCCCGACTGTGTGACAGGCCTGAGGTTCTCACCACCTCACTCCTTCCAGGCGCAGCCTCTGTTGCAAAGGGGCCATCCCGTGCATCCGATGTCTTGATTTTTTCATGCAGGGTCCGGTTTCTCATTCCGAAGTCGTTTCTTGACGGCCCTGGGGCCCCAGCGAGGGCTCTGGGATACTGACCCTTCCCTGCTGCACACCCTAATGGGGAACCTGCTCTGTTGCAAATCGCCTTGTTCCGAGCCCAAACCGTGTGGCCAGCGGGCCGAAAACGGCCACAAAGACGCCAATCTTGATTTCTGTCGTGCGACGCCAGCATGCCAGGGACGTTAGAGGCCTCCTAGATGGGGTCGGAGTAGATGGGGTCGGAAGATCGCGCCGCATCGTCGATGCATCGTCGATGCATCGGCGATGCATCGCCGATGTATCCGCGATGCATCGGCGATGCATCGACACCGTCGGCATGGAACAAATCGGGCTCCACATCGAGCCGCATCGCCGATGCCTCGCCGATGCGGCGCGATCCTCCGACCACATCTACTCCGACCCCATCAGGCCTGTGGCAGGCCCGCGTGGCCAGTCGCCGCTGTGCATCGGCGATGCATCGCCGATGTATCCGCGATGCATCGGCGATGCATCGACACCGTCGGCATGGAACAAATCGGGCTCCACATCGAGCCGCATCGCCGATGCCTCGCCGATGCGGCGCGATCCTCCGACCACATCTACTCCGACCCCATCAGGCCTGTGGCAGGCCCGCGTGGCCAGTCGCCGCTGTCTCGCCGCGCGACGTCCTCCTCCTCCTCCTCCTCCTCCTCCTCCTCCTCCTCCTCCTCCTCCTCCGCCTCCTCCGCCTCCTCCTCCTCCTCCTCCTCCCTCCTCCTCCTCCTCCTCCCTCCTCCTCCTCCTCCTCCTCCTCCTCCTCCTCCTCCTCCTCCTCCTCCTCCTCCTCCTCCTCCTCCTCCTCCTCCTCCTCCTCCTCCCCCTCCTCCTCCTCCTCCTCCTCCTCCCCCTCCTTGCCCTTCGCAGGCGGGAGGCGCACGCCCAGCGAAGCAGCTGGAGGAACCCTCCGGCTGCTTGGCTGGGCGTGGGCTGGCGTCGACCACGAGCGGCGAGCGCAGCCATGGGCCATACCAATCGGCTGCACGCAAGAGTGACCCTGGGTAAGAGTGACCTTTGGTGCTCGGTTTTTGGGGGGCCGTCGGGGGGCCAAACGCAAGTGTGCGAAACGCTACTACCGCATCGCGTTCGGCGATCGGGGGACCCCACTGGGCCCGCACCAAAGGTCACTCCAGCGAAAGGTCACTCTTACGTGTAGTCGAACCAAGCGCCCTTGCGGTCTGGACTCCGGGGCGCGAGCCCGCGCACGTGCTGTCGCACGGGCACGTTCCGCGAGGGGCATCCGCGAAGGAGCGCCCCGCATCCGCGGGGTCGCGGCTCGGGGGCCTGGCAAGCGAGGCCGCCGATGCGGATACATACTGTTACCCATGAGCCAAGACTTCTCAGACTGTTACCCATGAGCCAGACTTCTCAGACCATGAGGCCCCACATACATCCTGTTACCCATGACCCATGACACACACTGTGACCCAGACATGCGATGTCTCGACTCTTCATTGCTGCTGCTGCTCCTCCTCCTGCTGCAACTCCTCCTCCTCCTCCTCCTCCTGCTCCTGTCCGCACCCGTTTCGGCGCAAGCAGCGCCCCCCGCCCTCTCCGCACCCCCTTCGCCTGTGGCCGGCGGCGTGTTGCTGGCGGCCTGCTGGTGGCGGGGCTGGGGTGGGCAGCGGCGCGCCTGGCGATGGCTG